TGACACCTGGGGTCCTGCTGCACTGGCAGGAGCTGCCCTCCCAGGTTAGTGAATTCCTGGGAGTGCCTGCCAGCACACCTTTGATATGCAAAGCAGCCAAGCCCAAATCCACACCTCAGCCACCTCCTTTAATGGGATCTCACACTCTGGGACATTATCCCCTGCCTGCATCGCCTGGCGACCAGGTACTGAAAGCTGGGGGCCGCTCCCAGAGCCCAGAGCCCGCAGCAATTATTCACACTATCCAATCCTAACCTGCTCAGCCTGCTGGCGACCTCGCCTGGCCCATTCCTTTCTGCAGAAACCACTTCTCAGACAGAGATTCCACTAGAGCCCTGGATTCCCTCTCTGCCTGCTCTTTTCACCTTGGAGCTTCTCTTTATGGCCCTACCTGACGCGCCATGCCTCCTGCTTCTAAGGCACTGGATGCACCGGAATAACGTCTTCCTTCATGCCGATCATTTTCAGGTCTGTGCGTCTTACCATACCTGATTAAAACAAATCCCAGGAACCACGAACACCTCTCCACTGCTGAATGCAGAAGCTGCTCAAAGTCAAGTGAATTATTTGATCTTGAAACCCATTCACCAGGTGCCTTACACTGTTACACCAACCCTCCTTTTCCCCTAAGTAGGCAGCCACCTCAAAGGCCACCATCTACGTGTCACTTCTGAAAAGGGCCTTTCAGAATTTTCTGACTCATAAGGTGGTTACTGGAGCACTGACATATCCATTCTCACCACTGGACTCTTCAATTTACCATGAAATGTTAAGACGTGCTCCATGAGAGCAGGGCGTTCCATCCATCCCACTGCCCATTGCCATACCTCCAGCATCTAGAAGTGTGCCTGACACACAGTAGGTACCCAATAAATGTGTCTAATGAACGAATGACCTGTACAAGAATAGGCATGTGTTGGTATAGGTGGCCCATGGAATACAGCTTGAATATCGAGACTTCTAAGTGGTGAGCAGCCTGGCGCCGAGTTAAGGAATGGGTTCTACAGTGAGACCAGAGGTTAAACCTCTATCTACCACTGGACAGATGTGCAGTCTTGGGCAAGTCACCTGACACAACCAAGCCCCCAACCCTCCATTGATAAAAACTGGAAAGACTGAACGTATTTCCGAGGGAAAGGATTAAGCAGGATGGCCTGAGTAAAACATTTACATTCTGGTCAAGTCAGCAACGTTGACTTATTTGATGGGGTCCCACACCATCATCCCGCAGGCCCATCTGAAACACATGGCAATGACAGATGAAATATCTTTTTAAAAGAAGAGTAAAATTAAGGAGTCATAACCTCAATTAGACGTGACACACATCTCCATGAACCAGCAACAAGAGACACTCCAAGTGGTACAGAGCTTTGAAGCCACAGGCAACGGTAGCTGGAGGTCAGCTTCTGAGGGGTACAGTGCTGCCACCCAACGTAAAGATGGGAAGGTCCACCCGCTGCCTGAAGGAGACTCGGCCTGGGCTGGCAGCCTTGACTGTCGCCACTTGCTTCATCCGAGCAGTGTGATGTCTTCGGTAGCTCACTACATTGAACAAATGACTGCTTCCTTTCTCAAAGGTTCCCTTCCAAACAGCCCTGACTCACAAAGCAGGCAGCAGCCCTCCTAAGACTCCTCTTTCCTGCCTTCTTAACTCCCTTACCTCCGCGCTTTCTTTCAATCCATTTCTTATTTATAGACAGTCTTTACATGGTATCCCTTCTGTGATTTAACATGTCTTAATAATACCACTCCTTCTAAAGGAAGCCTTTCCCAATTATTTACACCTTGATAAGTAGTTACCTTCAAATCCTCATAAACCATCTCTTTACGTGGCACTAACTTGTAGAAGGTAGCGATGAAGTTACTTAATTCTCAGAACGAACCATACAAATTACAACCTACCTTCTGAAGCGAGAGACAGAGAGAGAACATAAACAAAAACAAAAGCAATGCAAGTTCATTTTTCATTCATATTTACTGTGCCAAATGAAGGTTTTATGAAGCTTTGAGTAATATATATTTGTTCTCTGATATAGGCAACACATCCCCTGTAGATGGTAATGTATGGGGAGTAACACCCTCCTTAATCTAGACTTTCTGGACACGAGGAGAAGGTGTTGGAACCCCCTCTGTGTGGGTACAGGACCACAGGCTCTGATGGGCTTTCCCGTTGCAGGACAGTGACAGCAAAGGTAACTGTTATTGGGCTTCGGAGGACACAGGGAAACTAGCAAGGGACTTAAAAAGCAGTGAGAGAGGAAGCAGGAGGGGAGGGCACACCAAGTACACAGGAGGACTTATGGACATCTGCGCGCTCCAGACACCCGTGCCCATCCCAAGGTGGGTGTGAGGAAATGAACCAGGGATGCCAGTAATGAACCAGGACCCTCAAGTGGAGCCAAAGTGATCCCAAACAAGAGCACTCCCAAACCCCCTGCAAAAGCAAAGACAAACCCTCCAGAAAAAAATGGGATTCAAACCAGACCCCTAGCAAAAGCAAAGACAAACCCTCTGGAAAAACAGGATTCAAGCAGATTAAATCTGCATCTGATGAAATCTGATCTCAAAATCATATCACAAAACATACAAGAAAAGAAGCCATCGTGAGAGATGGTAGAAATAACCAACAGCTTTCAACAACCAAAGACATACTTCAGATAGAAGAATGATCAGATACAGCGCACGAACTCTTCCATTATAAATGTTTCAGAAAATAAAAGATGTCTAAAAATGAACAAGGATCAAGAGACCATCAAAAGCAACCAGCCACATATGAATATCAAACCAAGAGAAGTGAAAACACAGAAATCAAAAGCTCAATAGCACAATGAAGCAGATTAGACCCAAATGGAGAGAGCGCCCTGGGGAGAGACAGCCGAGGCCGCCGGGCAGAGCACAAGGCCCGGAGACAGGGTGGGGAGGACGGAGGTGAGCCTGAGGGATGCGGAGGACAGACCAAGAAGTTTGCATGGGAATCCTAGAAAGTACGGCCAGAAAGAAGAGGAAAGAGTCAATATTTGAGAAGAAAGTAGCAGAGAATTTTACAGACATTATAAAAGATTTGAATCCAGAAATATAGGAAGCACACAGATACAAAGCAAGAAATTTTCAACTAGACATTTCGTGGTGAGACTGCAGAACCAAAGGGTAAATTAAGACAAGATTGTTAAGCCAGAGAGAAAAGGCGTTTAAAGGAACAGCAATTAGACTGAGAACAGAGCTTAAAACGGCTGCGACGGCAACTGAAAGATAGTAAAATCATACCTGTGAAGTGTAACATAAATGCTTTTATTACTACTTCTAGTAATAAGAAATAGCAACAGTGTGGAGACAGCGAAGATTAATCAAAAGCAGATAAAATTGAAGGGATTATGTATGGCTCTTAAAAGAAGGACCGTGCCCATAAGTTTTAAAACTGGTGATAAGACCATATTCCTTGAATTCTTAGAAAAATATATAATTTACCAAATCAGAATCAAGAAGAAGTATTAAGCCTGAATCATCATAGAGTAATCCAAAAACTATTAAAGAAATGGAAGGAGTAAAGTCCTCCCACTAAAAAAAAACATAACCAAAAAAGCACCAGTTTCAGATGGTTTTTACAGGGAAGACTAAAAAAATTTCCAGGAGCAGATGGGTCCAATCTTATACAAACTATTTTATAAAATAGAAAAAGGACAGACACTTGACAACAGGTCCTGTAACCTTTGTAACAGAATCATTCAGAACAGTATGAGGAAAGGAAATCCAGACCAACCTCAGTTGTGAAAATACATCCAAAAATGCAAACATAATACTAGCCTTGCCCAAAACTCAGAACTGGAATTCACCACATTAATATTCATGAAGAATCGTCTTAATCAATGCAGAAAAAAACTTTTGAAAACTTCAAAACCCATCTATGATTTTTTATAAATCTTACCGACCTAGGAATAGAAACAAACTTCCTTATTATGATAAAGAGTATCTACCAAAAATTTACAGAAAACAACATTCGTAATGATGAAACATTAACAAAACTCTCTTTAAATCAGAAACAGGAAGACCACCTTTATCATTCCCATTTACCAGTGCGCTGCAGGGCCGAGCCAGTGGAGGAAGACAAGGAGACCAGAGTCACCTTTATTCCCAGACCATCTGCCTACCTACCAAGAAAACCAAAACCATCTACAGACGAAATGTTGGAATTAAATCATACATCCACCTGACCCGGCAGTGGGAATGGAATGAACGAACCAGCACTAGATTCAAACACACAGATAAAGGTTAGAAATAACGTTGACTGTGCACCAGATGAGACCATGTTTATGACACTCAAAACCAAACAAAACCCCATGGTGCATTGTTTAGGGGTACAAATGCTTGTGGAAAATCATCTTTGAAAAGAAAGGGAATGGCACAAAGGGCATGGCATGGCTGCCTTTGGAGCAGAGAAGGGATGGGGTCAGGGGAGAGGCAACTGCCGCTTCTGGATCTTAAACTGGGGGGAGGGCAAGGGGGGGGACAAGCACGCAAGCTTTACCCTCACGCTTCAGAACTTGCATATGGGGACTTCCCTGGTGGTCCAGTGGGTGAGACTCCGCACTCCCAATGCAGGGGGCCTGGGTTCGATCCCTGGTCAGGGAACTAGATCCCACACACATGCCACAACTAAGATCCCACACGTGGCAATGAAGATCCTGCGTGCAGCAACTAAGACCGGGTGCAGCCAAATAAATATTTTAAAAAATAAATAAGTTTATATGACCTTTTCGAAGAGCAATTTGGCAATATCGATATTTAAAATGTGCATACAACTTCCCATCTAGGTACCCATACAGGAAAAATTCTCCCACAAGGAAAACAAATCAGAAGAACATTCTTAGCAGCATTGTTTGTAAAAGAGGAAGGAAGAGTATACATGTCCATCATTTTTACTTATCTTCAAGTAAAATTAAAGATCTAAAATACCATATTTTTGACAAGAATCTTAAAAGCTAAATGAATTAATAAAAACTTACTTCAAAAAGAAAGAGGATGGAGTCCAGCTCCTCCCTTTGTGACTTATTATTCCCTGGAATATATAAAAAAAAATCAGTTATCATGACAATGTACAAATTTTAGGATATTAAAAACTATGCTAAAAGGTATCTTAAAACATTCAAGCCTCAACATACAGACATTCAGTCAAAGATCCCGGGAGGTGCTGTGCAGCCTGCGTTACGGATGCAGATGCGTGACGGAGCCAGGCTGCCCAGGGCCACGTTCAGCAGAGCTGCTCCTTGCTAGCTGGTGACACACAGCTTCCAGGCTTTCTAAGTTTTAATCAACAGTGGAGCATCTTCCCCCGCAACAAGAGGGGTCCACTTCTCCAGCCCTTGAATCTGAGAGGCCCTGTGACCTGCTCTGCTCCCTGATGACAGCAAATGTGAAGCGAGCTTGAAAAGCCTTCCGCACCTGTGAGTGTGGAGCCCTAAGGCCACCGTGTGAAGGAGCCCAAGAGAGCCTGCCAGCTGGGGTTAGAGGAGCCACATGGAGGAGCACTAAGGCACCCTGGGCATGGCTTGCTAACCAGGACACGTGTGAATGAGGCCACCCGCCACCGACTGGTCAGAGGCGTGAGCCAGCCCAAACCAGAGGAACTGTCCAACAGACCCAGAAAATCACAAGCTAAATGACTGGTAGTTGTTTTAAGGTGCTCAGTGTTGGGATGGCCTGTTGTGCAATTTGTTACACAGCACAAACTGACTGATGGTCTTGAACCGCTACATGTTCCTAAAGGATAGAAGGAGCAAAGGGGGGGAGGGGGTGGCCTTTTAAAAACAGGATTCTAGGTTGTAGGGGGTTTTTCATATACGGATTTTAATTTTTTTCCTTGTTATTGATTGTACGTAATATCACATTTTTCTCCTCCACACACCTGTGAAAAATAGTGAAGTGGAACAGAGCTAGGAAGCAAGATAAAAATCACATAATTTCATATTTGAAATATCTACCACATTTGGCAAGAAAAAAAAATTAAGTTCAAGATTTATACCAATTTATAAATCACAGGGGAAAAAACTGAGAAATTCATTTAAAAAGAACACATGTTGGCATGCTGGGCACATGCCCACATGTGACCTGACCTACTAGAGGCTGGAGCAGCGCCCCTTGCAGGGCCTGAGCATCAGCTGTGTGGCCTCCCCCAGCCCCCCTCCATGCTCGGCCTCTGCCTCAGGTCTCACAGGAACAGCCAGGGGTCCACACACTCCTCTCCACGGCCTCTTCTTTCCATGTGACCCTGTCTCAGCCCATCCCCACACCGGGCACCATCTGCTGCCTCCTGTTCCTCAGCCTGCGACCAGGGAAATGCGCCCCTAAAACCTTCCCAGGACCGCGCAGCTCCTCTGGCTTCATCCTCACACCTTCACAAAGACCACCTCCCGTGCAGCTCACTGTCTCACTGCCCGGTTGCTCCAGCCCTGTCTGCCTTCTGATCCCGCTGGCCACTCAGAACATTCCTTTCAATGACGACACCCTTCCCCGTCCTGCTGGTACTCAACTCTGCACTGGCGGGCGCTGCTGACCTTTCATCCCTTGAACTCCTCTATTCTCAGGCTTCCTGGCACCCTCCCGGCTATCCCCCTTATTTTCCTCTGTCTGCCCAATAAAAGAAGGAATTCCCCCAAATCCCTGACTGCCACTCTCTCGCTCTGCATACACTCTCTCCCTTGGCAACAGGATGACTGCACCTCCCTTCTCCCAAACTCCAGTCCCTATAATTTAACAGCCCACCTAAGCCCAGGTGTGCCCTGGGCACCGCAGACGCAGACTGCCAAAAACCGGGCTCACCCTCTCGTCCCTCACACCTGGCTCCCCTGCAGGGCTCCCTCTGCTGCAAGGGCAGCAGAGGAACCAGACTCAACATCCTGAAAGCGTCTCTGGCTTCCCCCTCTGGGATCCCTTTTCCCACATCCACGTCTCACGATCGGTCGGTGCACCCACAGACCCCTAACACTTTCTCTGCCCTCAACTGCCACGTCCCTGGAGCAGGCGTCCCCAGACCTCACACGGATGACAACACCAGCCTCCTAACTGGTCTTCCTCCCTCCGGTTCACTCGCCACATTACAAGACACTGTCTTAGTAGCCAATGTTTTCGAGAGCCCTGCCCACTCAAAGAACGAAGTTCAAATGCCTTAACCTGGAATTGCAGGCTCCCCACGAGGCAAGCATAAACCTCTTTCATACATCTGATGTCGAGAGAAAAAGAAATGCTTTCCCCAGACATGCCCCAGAGATGGCCTCCCTGCCGTCTCTCATTCTCTACCCTCCGTCCCCAAGACCACCTCGTCCCCAAACCTCCCTCATGCACTCTACGGGAAATCAGCAGCCACAGACGGGGTGTCTATATCTGACAACACATCTACTTTCTGACCTGTTCCACGGTGAACCATGCCTATGGCTTATTCCCTGACCCATCCACAACTACCGCCACCTATGACGCATGTTCAGCATCTGACACGTCTCCGGATTCCTCTCAGGAATCTAGCCCAGTGCCTTGCTCATCGTCAGCTTCAAATCCTGGATGGGTGAATAAATGAAGAATTAAACAGGAGAGGGAGACAGAGCTGCCAGGGCCAGGGTCCACAAGGGCGAAAGGCACCCTTCAGGATGCTAAAGCATGGACGGTCTAGGCCCCAGGTAGAAGATGCTCTTGCCTGTCGGTGAGCAACACAGATGACATTTCAATGTCTATCCATCAACCTATCATCTGTGTTGTTTATTTAATGGGAGAACTATGAAATAGAACAGTGCTTCTCAAGCTTGAGAGCACATGCGTGTCAGCGGAGGGCTTCTTAAAACACCAATTGCTGACTTTCCACCTGCAGAGTTTCTGATTCAGGAGGCTTAACGAGTGCCCAGGTGATACCCGTGCTGCTAGTCTAAAAACCACAAGGCGTTCTGAGAGCCACTGGTACAGGGAAGGTGCTCTGAACATGGCATCAAGAAGCCCGGTTGCAATTCCGGCTATACAATTAACTAAATAATCTGTGTGACCTCAGGCCAGTGATATAACCTCTCTGGACACGGTTTTCTCAACTCTAGAATGATGACTGTGAAAAACCCAATCTCCTGAGCCCCTTCCAACCTTAAAACTCTGTGGTCCTGACTCGGTCACTCAGAAGTCAGTCATCCAGAACAATGGCACTTTTGTCCAACGCAGTGCTGCAACTGTTTAAAACTGTGGTGGATATAAAGGTGCTAACATGCAAGGATTTCCAAAACACATTACATAAAAGTGAAAGATGATGATGACAATGACAGCCAACAGTTACCACGGACCACGTGCCATGCTTTGTCCTGGAATCCCAGGACACGTGTCAACCCACTTAATGCTGACAGAAGGAAACTGAGTCACAGATGAAGTAACCTGTCCAAGGAGAAACAGCTAGAAGGGTAGAGCAAGGATCCAAACCTGTGTGGCTCCCCGGGCTACTCTATCCTGCCACATAAATACAGAGCAGAATGTGCAGCATGACTTTATTGGCTTGGTTTTCAAAGAATGTTTCATGTAAGTATTGGGGTGGCCAAAAGTTTCATTCGGTTTTTTCCGTAAGATGGTCTAATAGCACTTAATTGTCTTAAACTTCATTCGAAACAATTTTGTTAGATTGTATTGTGACAGGTCACATCAGCATGCATTTAAAAAAAGACATCAAAATTGGTGAATTTTTGTGTAGCCATTTTATTATTGAAGATGGAAGAAAAAAGCAACATTTTTGGCATATTATGCTTTATTATTTCAAGAAAGGTAAAAACCCAACTGAAACACAAAAAAAAGATTTGTGCAGTGTATGGAGAAGGTGCTGTGACTGATCGAATGTGTGAAAAGTGGTTTGCAAAGTTTCATGCTGGAGATTTCTCGCTGGACGATGCTCCACTGTTGGGTAGACCAGCTGAAGTTGACAGAGATCAAATCGAGACATTAATTGAGAACAATGTTATACCACCTGGGAGATAGCCAACATACTCAAAATATCCAAATCAAGTGTTGAAAATCATCTGTACCAGCTTGGTTATGTCAATCGCTTTGATGTTTGGGTTCCACATAAGTTATGTGAAAAAAACCTTCTTGACCCTACTTCCGCATGAGATTCCCTACTTAAACGTAAGGAAAACAGCAAATTGTGATGGGAGATGAAAAGTGGATACTGTACAATAATGTGGAATGGAAGAGATCATGGGGCAAGCGAAATGAACCGCCACCAACCACACCAAAGGCCAGTCTTCATCCAGAGAAGGCGATATTGTGTATATGGTAGGATCGGGAGTCCTCTATTACGAGCTCCTTCTGGAAAACCAAACAATTAATTCCAACAAGTACTGCTCCCAATTAGACCAAATGAAAGCAGCACTCGACGAAAAGCATCCAAGGTTAGTCAATATGATCTTCCATCAGGATAACGCAAGACCGCATGTTTCTTTGATGGCCAGGCAAAGACTGTTACAGCTTGGCTGGGAAGTTCTGAGTCATCTGCCGTATTCACCAGATATTGCACCTTCGGATTTCCATTTATTCGGTTTTTACAAAATTCTCTTAATGGAAAAAATTTCAATTCCGTGGAAGACCGTAAAAGGCACCTGGAAAAGTTCTTTGCTCAAAAAGATAAAAAGTTTTGGGAAGATGGAATCATGAAGTTGCCTGAAAAATGGCAGAAGGTAGTGGGACTAAAGGGTGAATACCTTGTTCAATAAAGTTCTTGGTGAAAATGAAAAACGTGTCTTTCATTTTTACTTAAAAAACCAAAGGCACTTTTTAGCCAACCCAATATGTATGGGCGTAACCATAAACATATATAAACACAGTATATTAATAACATATACAGGACACTTAGATAGCGGTTGCCTCTGCACAGCAAGACTGGGTGTCTGGGCAAACAGACACATCAGTTTTCATTCCAAACCCTTTAGTGGAATCTGAACTTTTTTAATGATGTGCATACATGACTTTTTTTCTTTCTTTTTGAGTAAATTATGCCTTGGCCGCTGAGCCTGCGCATCCGGAGCCTGTGCTCCGCAACGGGAGAGGCCACAGCAGTGAGAGGCCCGCGTACCGCAAAAAAAAAAAAGCATGTAACTGGTGGCACATGACACACACAACCTCTCAGAACTTCCTGAATGTTTATTTAAAAAAACAAAAAACTTTGTATATCAAAAACATTTTGTAGAAATTCTTACCTTTTAATTTCAAACTGTTTTCCAGTGTTATAAAATTTTCATAGAAGATGAAATATATCTGAGAATAGTTGGTCTCAAAAAACTGCTTAAGATCACTTGCATCCACGTTATCTGAAAAGAAAAAGTTCCCATTTATGACAAACTTACACAATTATCAGAGTTCACAATCTTTTCAGAAATGAAGGAATGTAAAAACGAGCCATATCCCCTTATAAGACAAAACAAAGCAAAGTGTATTCCAGTCCACTTCTTCTTTCTCCACCTAAGGAGAGCTCTGAGGTGGCCTGGGGCACCTCCCCTCCCCGTCCCAGACCTCAAGGTCAGAGCCTGGGGGCACAGCACCTATGAGCAGCTAGAAGGCCAGGGGTAAGTGAGGGTCCAGGGAGGGACAAGATGACTTCCTGTTAGGGGTGGGGAAGTAAAAGTTCATGGAAGAGGTGGCTGCTGACCCAGACTATAAAGAGGGATGAGTCTGTACGGCTGAGAAACAACTCTGCCAGGAGCCCGGCATGACCCAGAATCTCCTCCCTCCCTCCTGGCTCCCGTGCCACCGCCCAGAGGACAGCAGGCCCTCCCCCGACACCTGCCCACATCCACCTGGGCCACTTGCCACCGCGTCCCTCCAGCTTCTACGTGACCCACCGCACCCCTGTGTGGACACGGCGGACCCGCCATGTGCTCCTAGCCTCGTCCCAGCAGTGTGTCTCCCAGCTGCACCAGTGTTGCTAAACCAGGGCTGCGGGTGGATCGGCAGGTGGTGCAGGGAACTTAGCCCAAGAACAGCTTCCCCGCACTCCCACCACCAGCCCTGGCCCCCCCAGGGGCTGAGCGACAACACAGCCAGCATCCCTCGCAGCTCCGGTCAGTCGCCCACTGTCAACACACCTCTGTACAGGTTCCTTAGCAAACAAGGTTGTCTGTGCATTTACAGCAGTGTCCTGACCAAGGTATTAGCTCTTTGGAAGAATACACCTTAGGAAACCTCAGGAAAATTAAAAACAGCTTCCTTAAAGTTCTACAAGATTACTCAAGAAAATAAAGTGTGTTGCTATTCAATCTATAACAGAGTCGTATCAGCTTTGGAGGGTCCTAATGTGAATATGTATGAACACACCCACTGCTATACTTACATTCCATAAAGTTAACACTCTTGCTGGTGAGTCTAGAGTTGTCTCCCTCTGATAACTACACAGCGCGTTTCATGCAAAAATCTGCCCTGGTTCTTTGAAACAATGCACATAAGGTGTTGGTAAAGTCATAGGAACTGCCAATTTCACTTTCTGTTTCTTGCCACAAATTAACACTGAGCACAGAGCAGTGGAAGTTCCTAGTAACTAACCAGTTTACCTTCGCCCAAGCAGGTAACAATGACATCAGGATCCTTAACCCATGTGAATATCACCATTCTCACGAGCTACACAACCCTGCCAAGGAATCCTCAAGTGCCTTCTGCAGGATGTGTCAGTTCCAAGAGAGGGCTTTGTTCATGTTCATGCCAACACCAACTGCTCCTGGGACTGCTGAAACCTCCCCCGCCCCCCAGGCCAGGTGAGGGCCTCTGCTCTGGGGCCCACAGCCCTATTCCTCCCCGTCCCAGATGGTGTCACACTGTCCTCCACTCTTGGTGCAGCTCCTGACTTAGTTCCGATGGAAGGGTCTGTCTCCTCTGTTAGAGACAGTCCCCACCCTCACAGACCTCCTCTGTGGCTCAGCATCACCAGGCACCCTGCAGGGAATATAGCATTTAGCTCGATAGTTTCTTGAACGAACTAAATAAAAGAAACAGCCTATAATATACAATCACAGGACAGTGACCACAACTTGTAACCCATCAGATCTCATGCCGATGGGAAAAAGTGGCCTGACCCTTCTTCAGATCCTTGGGGTTATTAGGAGAGAAATGTCAACCCTCTGCTGAGGACGCCCGATTCCGCTCTGCAGCCCCAGCTCTTGCGGCCCCTGCTCCAAGTGAGGGTCTAAAGGCTTCTCGTTCTCACCCTCACTTTCTGCTCTTCCCGCAGGAACCACCCACTGCGCTGCTCAAGCCGAAACCTAGTCCCCATCCCGGCTCCTCCCAGCTCCTTCCCAGCCCGTGTCCGGGGTGTGGGCTCCTCCACAGACCCACCGGGCACTGTACCCCCATCCCTGCCCGCCACCCATCCCCGCCCAGGGTCCCCGCATCACCACTTCCCCTCCACAGTCCCCTCTCCACACTGTCGTCAACAGTAAAATGGAATAAACCAAATCAGACCATTCTTTTACTCAAAACCTTCCAACGGCCTCCAGTTCTGCTTACAATAAAATCCAAACCCTTTACCATAGCCTGGCGGCCCTGCGGGCTTTCCTCCACTCAAGGCCAAGTCCGTCCCACACCACTCTCTCTGCACCCTGCACTCTGGCCGCCGTGGCTTCTTTCCATCTCCCAAGCTTCCCACACGTGTTCCCCACCCTGATCTTCATCCAGCTCATTCCTTCTCATCCTTCAGAGCTGGGACCCCACACAACCTCCACAGAGAAATCTAAGGAGCCCCCGTGTCCCCAAGCATGGCCTCCATCACCCACCTCCTCCTTCACGGAGTCTGGCGGGTGGGTGGCCAACTGCTCGCCTGTGAATGGGCCGCAGCGAGCAAAGCATCCCCATGCTGAGGACGTGGGTACACAGGTATGGCAAGACAGCACAGAAAGGTTATGGGCCACCAACAGTCTACCTTTCCTGGCCTCCCCGGTCCCTCAGAAACACTCGAGTGTCAGCAACCTGAGCAAAGAGGGTCCTCGTCAAGGCTGAGGGGCTTCATGCAGACAGAGACACCCTCATGAGGCCAGAGTCCAGGCGGCAGCCACCTTCCCCCTCAGCCATTCACTGTCTTCCTTGTGGGTTAGCAGTGGATGCAGCTTAAAGTCCTCAGGACAAGACAAGCAGACGCCCTCTAGGTCACCCAGCACACAGTGAACGAAGGGTGTAACATCTGTAACTACTAGTTTATTTACCCATGTGAGGACTCCTCACTGGTCTGGGAGTCCCCTTCACGTGATCCCTGCCCACAGCACTTAAGATTAGTGGAGACTGTCTCATTTATTCATTTACTTCTCCACCGACCGGCACTCCACTAGAATGGAAGCCACATATGGGCAGGAATCACATCTGTTTTGTTCCCTGCTGTACTTGCAGCCCCAGGAGTAGAGTTTGGTACCTGAAAGGTACTTGACACACATTTGTTAAATGAACAAACAAAAAATAAATATCAAATATTTTCTATCTCTACTTCAAAACCTAGAATGTTTCCATGATCTGTCTTATTTTTGGAAAAACAAGACTCATCCGATGAATATTTACAAAGCATGGATCTTGGAGGAGGCGCGCACTGGGAGTTAGCGTCCTGCAGAAAGGAACACAAGGGAGTACCACAGGTCTACTTTGTAACGAGGTAACTTCGAGAACCAAAGATATATAGGAGGAAGACTGCTCAGGAAAACAACAAAAAAAAAGCCTATGACCACAAACTTCCTTTCGAAAGACACTCTTCATCTGTTCATTCAAACAAGACTGAGTCCTGAGCCCTGCCAAATAGCCCTGCGCCAAATGCTGGGAAATTCCAAGAGAATACGGTGCAGGGCCCTCCAGGGTACAGGAACACAAGCAAGTAACGGAGACGGCAGCGTGCCTGAAGCTCAGGCAGGGCATCAAAGCAGGGAGTGACAAGGCCACCTGGGGAGGTTGGGAACATTAAAAACACTGTACATGTATGCTTTGAAAGACACACTTTCATGACTGTATTTTATTTGACCCTCACCACAACCCTGTGGGGGAGATGGGGCAGGTGTGGTCAAGACAAAGAAACCTCAGGTTCAGAATCGTCTGTAACCTGCCCAAGGTATCAGGCCAGTCAGAGACTCCTGTCCGGGTCTCCAGCTCAAACCTGAGCTACACAAAGGCCTCAGAAACAGACGGAAGAAGTCAAAACCAGAAATCGGGTCAGGAATATAGAGAAATACGTGGTCCCCTCGGGGATGGGATGTGCAGGAGAGCCCGAGGGAGAAGAGCAGGGGGATGAGAGGACAGGTAAGACACGAGGGGAGACGCGGCCCGGCTCCCCAAAATGACCTCACAGCAACCTCCCCATGGCCTCGTGGGGCCAGTAAGGAAGTGGGAAGGAGGGGAAGTCCCCAGGTACAGAGCCCAGGCTGTAGACCACCTTTGAGGTGATGAGCCTGGGTGTGTTTGGCACCGACGCTAGCACGCTGCCTGGCTGGCATCACAAAACCCAGGCAAGTGCATTCACACTGACCACAGAGAAGCAACCTGCAGCCAGCTTTACAGAACTAGGGGTCATTCTGGGATTTGTAAAGCAATCTCCTTTACCACCAACCAACAGCCAATCAACTGTTTCTATTATTTTCCCATTATATCTGAAAAATAATCTATATTCCACACCAGAAGCTACCCTCCCCTGGCCTTTTGTCCAGCTAAGCCTCCTGCTGACAATGATTTCCCCACATCTAGCTGGAAGACAATAGCAAACCTTGAAGGCAGAACCTTTGGAGCAGACTGCCTGGGTTCAAGTCCAGAAGCTACAAGACCTGGGCAAGTTATTTAAAACACTTTGTGCCTCAATTTCCTCACCTGAGAAATGTGGCCAACGATGGTTCCTGTGCCCATAAAATGAACGTAAGCAAAGTGCTTCTAAGGGTGTAGTCAGCATTACGTAAATAAATGTTAGTTGTTTTCCAATTACCTAGCTCCTGGCAAAGGCCATCTCACGAGGTGGGAATAACCCAGCTTCACCTGTGGAGCCATAAAACTCAATGATACGTGAAACTCACCCACTTAATGAGACCTTTCGAAAAGGCACAGCACTTAATCCCAGTTCAGCAGCAGATGCTCCAAAACTAGTGGGACTGTCCCTCCACTTCCTCCCACATAGAACCCTTCCCAATAGCAATCTTACTCCTTTTTAGTTGGGAGGATCATAGCCCAGCCTCATAAAAACCTGCTGCAGACCCTGAAAGCACCAAAGGAGGAGGGAATGTCCTTCTCAGACTTGGGGGCCCTGGTGGACACTGTCAAGAGGAAGAAGGGGTTCAGACCAGCTCCTCTGGAGTAGGGAGTGACC